CCCATATAGGGATGGCCGGTTCGCTCACTTCGGAGAGTGTGGTGCTCATAACACCAAGGCCCAAGGGTTTGGATCCCATATAGGGATGGCCGGTTCGCTCACTTCGGAGAGTGTGGTGCTGACAACACCAAGTCAAGGGTTTAAGATCCCCTTACTGGTCATCTTTTTTTTAAAAAAAATAATAATAGTAATAATAAAGTGCCAAAGAACTAGTGGAGAATTAAGATGAGGGCATTTGGCTGCTGTGGCACCTGTATACTTTCAGATCATTTGATTTGAACACACAACCTTTACTTATTCAGCCACCTGCCTTCCTGGTATTGAGGACAGTCCCTGTGATAGGTTAAATTGACAGCCCAAAGGGACTTCGGTAATATTCATGTCACATGTCATCTTAATGCTGTATCAATAGCCTGTTGTTCCAAATGACTTATTAAATTAACATTTACCATTTCAGGGTCTCTCAGTCCCATACTCATGTCATATAGTAGTCCTAGACTACTTGTTTTCTTTGATTCTTTTTATTAAATTTGTATACTCTAAATGAGGCCCTTATAGGCTGGCTGGTTAGCTCAGTTGAGAGAGAGTGGTGCTGGTAACACCAAGGTCATGGGTTCAGATCTCCATACCAGCCAGCTGCCAGGAAAAAAAAGTAAATGAGGCTCTTATAAACCTTTTATTTGCCTTGTAATTGTACAGTACTTTCATAAACCTGGTAAACAATTTATGAAAGAACTATTTTATTTGTGACATAAGCCTCTTGTTGTAGATTTTCCCATGAAGCCCAGTGTGGCCCAGTAACCAAAAATAAACATGTCATAGGAAATGGTATTCTCTGACAGTGCTTATTTTGGGTAACCATCCAATTATGCCTAACAAACTACTTGGTTAACCGCCTTATGGTCACTAAGATCTAAATTGGGGATGAAATGTGTAAACTATAGGTTTAAGAAAATATATAAAAAATTTGTAGGGCCGGCCCGGTGGCGCACTGCTATAGTGCGCCGCTTGGGAAGCGCGGTGGCGCTCCCGCCGAGGGTTCGGATCCCACATACAGACCGGCCGCTCACTGGTTGAGCGAGGGGTGGGGGCAGCGCCAAGGGTTGCGATCCCGTGGCCGGTCCCGGTCCGGTGCGGGCGCGACACTGAGGGTTGCGATCCATTGCCGGTCACGAAAAAAGCTCCCGCCGAGGGTTCGGATCCCACATACAGACCGGCCGCTCACTGGTTGAGCGAGGGGTGGGGGCAGCGCCAAGGGTTGCGATCCCGTGGCCGGTCCCGGTCCGGTGCGGGCGCGACACTGAGGGTTGCGATCCGTTGCCGGTCATGAAAAAAGACAAAAAGGGAAAAAAAAAAAAATTTGTACAACATTACCATTTCTCAAAAATATTCAGCCCAAACATTTGCTAGCTGTAGTTTTGGATTTAACATAAATTCCTGAAAATTATCTTTACATTTAAGGATGTAGATATCTTCCCAATGGTTAGCTTTGTAAACTAGAATTTGATAATAAATTTTAAGGGATACATTAAACTATTTGGATGTATCTTATAAACTGATTAGTGAGGGGTGTGTTATTTTAACCATGTTTTCTAAAATACAAAATGTAATTTACTTTAGATTGAAAATTATTTTCCCTGACAGAGTGAGTAGAACAGAGCGTAGTGGAAGGTATGGTTCCATCATAGACAGGGATGACCGTGATGAGCGTGAATCTAGAAGCAGGCGGAGAGACTCAGATTACAAAAGATCTGGTGATGATCGGAGAGGTGATAGATATGACGACTACCGAGACTATGACAGTCCAGAGGTAAGTGACTCGCAACTGTTTATGGAGTTGTTAGAATTATAAATTGTATGTACAAGATTTTTGAAATGAAATAAGTATGCCAAGTATGGAAATATATCCTCTTGAGTATTATATTTAAACTCTTATTCTGAATTATATTTGAGTTGACTGTAACCCCCAAAGACAACCTGAGCCTTACAGTAATAGAAATAATAGCCAAGGTTTACACAGGACTCACTATGTGCTCTTTTGAATGCTTTACTTGAAGAAGTCATGTAGGTCTCATTGAAACCCTATAAGGTAGGTGTTATTCCCATTTCAAAGATGAGACCAATCCTGTGCCTCATACTATGTTTTGAAATAAATGTAAGTTGTAGTTTTGGTCATCTTAACATTTCTTTTCACATTCCTTTCCATATGTGTACACAGCTTTGTTTAGAAGTAATTATGCTACTCATATAACTTTGCATTGTTTTCCTCCTTTTTCCATGCATATAATCTTCATATTGTAACATTGTGTGTTGGTGTAATATACAATGGAATTATTAAACCATTCTTCCTGAAGTAAATGGTTGTTGCTGTTTTAGAAAACACTGTAGTGGACATCAACACAGAGTACTCATATCGTCTCCATTGACTTTCTTCCTAAGGGTAAATTTTGTGAGTGGAAAGCCTGAATCAAAGGGTGCAGAGTGATTTCAATTGTGATTTTGTTTATTGTAAATCAGAGAGAGCGTGAAAGAAGGAACAGTGACCGATCTGAAGATGGCTATCATTCGGATGGTGACTATGGCGAGCATGACTATAGACACGACATCAGTGATGAGAGGGAGAGCAAGACCATCATGCTGCGCGGCCTTCCCATCACCATCACAGAGAGCGATGTAAGGGGAAATGACAGTTCTAACCAGCAGTCCAGTAGGCAGAACAGACTTTAAGCTTCTGCTGTTATTTTCTCATGTTACTTTATCTCAAGCTAATATCTGAACTAGTGAAATATATTTGTCTTTAGGGTGGAGTTTTCTGAACTTGGTTCAGAAGTAAATTACCATTTATATTTAAGCTTTGAAGCTCATTGTAGAGTTTTCAGAATCTTCTTATCCACAGGGAGCGGGTCTTTTCTTCAGTAGTTCTTAAAAGGTAATCAGTACACTTTTATTGAATTACTTATTAGGTGAGGGTGTATTGTAAAAACAACCTTCTTTATAATCTGAGCACACTTTGATTTGATGAAAATTATACTATCCATTTGAAACCTCACAGAAGCCTGTAGAAAAGGAAGGCTGATTCCCTACCTCAGTTCTTAGACCGGCCAGTGAGGGTCTTGGTGTAGCAGTACCTGATTTCCAGCAGCATCTCTGGTATTCACTCCCTTCCAGCTACATCCAGCACCTACTTTCCCAGCAGGCCACTTTGGATATGTCCATTGTTCTACATGTGTGCCTTTTTCTGCTTGGAGACTCCTTTATGTGTAGCCTTTCCTGATCTACCAGGCAGAATCTCTTCCTTATTCTCTTCCCAAGTCACTGTATTCATGACTTTTCTGTAGCATCTTTACTGTGGCTATCAATATATGTCTCATTTCCACCTCAAGACTGTAGATCTCTGGCCGGCCCGGTGGCGCACTGGATAGTGCGCCGCTTGGAAAGCGCGGCGGCGCTCCCGCCCGAGGGCTCGGATCCCACATGCAGACCGGTTCCCGCTCACTGGCTGAGCGAGGCGTGGGAACAGCACCAAGGGTTGCGGTCCCGTTGCCGGTCCCCGGTCCGGTACGGGGGCAACACTGAGGGTTGCGATCCGTTGCCGGACACGGAAAAAGACAAAAAGACAAAAAAAAAAAAAAAAAGACTGTAGATCTCTGAAATCAGACCTCTGTGTCAACCAGTCATCTTCATGTTCCCAACCCTTGGACATAGTATGCTGCTCAGCCAGTGTTGGTGAAATGAATGTGACGTTTTGAAACATGTTTTTAAAATATGTAAATGCACAGAATTGTGCCAGTATCTATTGTCCTGGAGTAGTCAAAGTAGTATTCTGACTAATGTTTAGTTGACTTTTAGACAAAGCTGAAGATAAGTATTGGATTTCTAAACATTTAGAAACAGCTTTTGGTATCTCAACACTGGAAGTAATGAATGTGATGAATCTGAGATGAAAGTGAATGGTGGGTAATCATTTCATTATTTGTGATCCACTGCATACTTGCTACACCATCTGTGCTGTGTTAGATGCTATGGTGATGCAGACCCATGGATCCTGCCTCGAAAAAGATTATGGGTGAATAGTAAATTCAGCAGATAATGCTGACAATGCAGAATAGAAAGGGGTCAGTGTTAGAAGAGGTCCTGTTGAAAGAGGTCCTGCTAAAGGGATCTGGAAGCTTATTTAAGGGAAGTATAAGCTTAGTATATAAGCTCATACTAGTGGAGGGTAAGGAAGGGCACCATGAAGATATTAGTTGAGCTGATTCTTGAGAGAGAGAAATGTTTTGGTCTGGTGGAGAACTGGGGGAAGACTATGGTGGGTAAGCCCTCTAGGCAGGGGGATCACACGGGCAGACCTGGGAATAGAATCTAGATAAGGCCTGACAACCAGCTTGTTTTGGCTGGAGTCTGAGGCATTTGGCAGGGGAGAGGCAAGTGGGAAGGTGCTGTTTGGGCTGGAGGCTAGAGTCTGAAAACCCAGCTAAGCATAATAGAGTTACTGAAGGCTTTGCCTGGTAGCAGAGGCTATCTATGCAGGTTAGAATGATGGGGGGAAATAATGGTAGTGGGTAGTAGACAGGGAAGGCAGAGCTGAGCTTAGGTAGTGGCAGCAGTGGGGATGCGGAGTAGGGAATGCAGGAAATCCTGCAGGAATTAATTCAAGAAGGCTTTTACTGATGGATCAGATTGTCCCCATGAACATGGATCTGTTAGGCATGTGGGATCTGTGGAGGAAGTGGATAGCATAGGGAGAGTAAAGCCCTAGCTGGCTTTTTGGGGTTGCCCTGATGATAATGAAATAGGATTGTAATGCTGTGTATTTCAGGCTTCTTCAGGGAAATGGAGGTGGCTACTATAAGAAGGCTGGTTTTCAAAGTAGAATTTTCTGAGGTTGCCAAATATGGTACAATATTCTTAGAAAATTTGCTTGTTGGGATCTTAATATTTGCAAAATGTATGAGGAACTCTAAAGAGAATGAATCTCAACAATCCTTCCATCACATCAGTCAGTTGTTTGATTTTATCAGTGATCTGGCAAACCTCAGCTGTCTTGTTTACCAAGCGGATACCCAGACATACCAGCCTTATAACAGACTAGATGAAAGAGAAGATCTATATGCTCCTTTGTTGGCAGGCCCAACAGGCCAAGTTGAAAGCATTAGAGGGATGGAGGTGGACTTGGAACACAGCTGTATATAACATGCTGTAGTGGGAGTTTTGGATTATAGTTCTTCTGTTACATTTTGTTATACTCTAGCCAGGATTGAACGTATTTGATGAGGGCCAGCCCGTGGCTCACTTGGGCGAGTGTGGTGCTGATAACTCCAAGGCCTCATGTTCAGATCCCTATATACGGATGGCCAGTTAGCTCACTTTGGAGAGCATGGTGTTAACAACACCAAGTCAAGGGTTAAGATCCTCTTAGCGGTCATCTTTAAAAAAAAAAAGAAAGAAAAGAAAATTTTGAAAAAAGAACGTATTAGATGAAGTGTGAAGATTTTGTTCAATCTGAAACTTCTGTTGCCCCCTCCTGTGTGCGCACGTTCTCTCCCTCTCTCCCTCCCTCTCTCCCCCTCTCCCTCTCTCCCTCTCTCCCTCTCTCCC